CATCCCTTGCTCACACCATCCCTTGCTCACACCATCCCTTGCTCACACCATCCCTCACACCGTCCCTCGCTCACACCGTCCCTCGCTCACACCGTCCCTCGCTCACACCGTCCCTTGCTCTCACCACCCCTTCTCACACCATCCCTTGCTCACACCATCCCTTGCTCACACTGTCCCTCGCTCACACTGTCCCTCGCTCACACCATCCCTTGCTCACACCGTCCCTCGCTCACATAGTCCCTCGCGCACACCGTCCCTCGCTCACACCGTCCCTCGCTCACAACATCCCTTGCTCACACCATCCCTTGCTCACACCATCCCTTGCTCACACCATCCCTTGCTCTCACCATCCCTCGCTCACACCATCCCTTGCTCACACCATCCCTTGCTCACACCATCCCTTGCTCACACCATCCCTTGCTCACACCATCCCTTGCTCACACCGTCCTTTGCTCACACTGTCCCTTGCTCACACCGTGCCCTGCTCACACCGTCCCTTGCTCACACCGTCCCTTGCTCACACCATCCCTTGCTCACACCATCCCTTGCTCACACCATGCATTGCTCACACCATCCCTTGCTCACACCGTCCTTTGCTCACACTGTCCCTTGCTCACACCGTGCCCTGATCACACCGTCCCTTGCTCACACCGTCCCTTGCTCACACCATCCCTTGCTCACACCATCCCTTGCTCACACCATGCATTGCTCACACCATCCCTTGCTCACACCATGCCTTGTTCACACCATCCCTTGCTCACACCGTCCTATGCTCACACCGTCCCTTTCTCACACGCTCACACCGTCCCTTGCTCACACCATCTCTTGCTCACAGCATCCCTCGCTCACACCATCCCTCGCTCACACCATCCCTCGCTCTCACAATCCCTTGCTCACACCATCCTTTGCTTAAACCGTCCCTTGCTCACACCATCCCTTACTCACACCATGCCTTACTCACACCATCTCTTACTCACACCATCCCTCGCTCACACCGTCCCTCGCTCACACCATCCCTTGCTCTCACCATCCCTTGCTCACACCATCCCTTGCTCACACCATCCCTTGCGCACACCATCCCTAACTCACACCATCCCTTGCTAACACCGTCCCTTGCTTACACCATCCCTTGCTCACACCATCCCTTGCTCACACCGTCCCTCGAAACAAACTCAACAAGTGGCTGGACCAAGTGAAATGTAACAATACATGAAGTGGCATTAATATTTTAATAACGTACGACAAAAGAGAAAGACACTTCACACTCGACAAAAGAGAAAAACACGTACGACACGCAAACGACGACTTGACATGCGAGTTGTGAAAACTCGCTAATGTCTAGACCAACACAAACCACATTGTGATACACCATTCAAGCATACATACAAGCCTTAGATAGCAATGACATCGACTCACAAGTCATTCCATGCCATGCATGCACACACACAAACAAGGACAACAAGTCGAGTGCAAGCCATAGGGTTGCACCAACAAACTCCCCTTTGATTGTTGGCCTTAGAATCTGCTCCCCTTAGTTCAGAGCCATCCCAGCAAGCTTGCAACACTTTCAATGCTGCTGCTCAACTAGCCTCTTGGTCATCATATCAGCAGGCTGCGCCGTCATCTTCACGTAGTGCAACTCCACTTCACCCGAGGTTACCATGCTCCTCACCCAATGCCATGTCACCTTCATGAGCTTGGTAAGGCCATGAAGAACGGGGTTCTTAGCCAATGCAATAGAACCTTGGCTATCACAATAGAGTGGGATAGGTCCTTGCTGCTCCTCCCCCAATTCAGCTAGCAAACGCCGCTGCCACACAACCTCTCTTATGGCATGGAAGAGTGTCATGTACTCGGACTCCACCGAGCTCAATGCTTGGTCCACTTGTTTCTTGCTCTCCCAAGCTGTTGGGCCTCCACCAACACAGCAGATGAAGCCTCCCACACTTTTCATATCCTCTGGTTCTTATGCCCAAGATGCAGCAGAGAAGGCGGTGAGAAAGAGCCTCCCGGGTTCAACCCCACCCGCACCCTTTTGACGCATTTGTGCCGCCGCGGAATATTGCAGTCCAACAGTTGCTGTTTGGCCAAGGTACTTGGCCACTTACTCTCCAGCTGCTACCTGCTCTTCGTTAGGGCATGGAACAGCCCTAGCCAGCTGCTCGGTAGCAAAGGCTACATCCGGCCTTGTGTGAACGGCCGCATACATGAGGCTGCCCACCAAGGAGTGAAAACGCCGCCTCTCCTCTTCACCAACACTTTCCTCCGCTGGTCCTTTCACACACTCGTTCCCCGAGGGTAGAGGAGTTGCCACATGGCCTTCATTCCTTCCAAAGTTTGCAGCCAAGGCCTCCAAGTACTTCTTTTGATGCACTCGCATCCACCGCTTCTCCACATCTCGCTCAATGTGAAGCCCAAGGTAGTAGTTGACGTCACCAACGGTCTTGCACTTGAACTTGTCTTGAAGCTTCAGCATCATCTCCTTCACAAGATCAGAGGAGGGTGAGAATATGAGGATGCCATCCACGTAAACCACCATGAAGCTCCTCTGCTCCCCCTCGCCAAGCATGAACAACGATTGATCAGCCGTTGTGGGAGTGAAGCCGACCGCCTCCAAGACTTCGCGCAGTACCATTGCCTAGGGGCTTGCTTGAGGCCATAGAGTGCTTTCTTCAGCTTCCACACTCTGCCACTCCCATCATTGTACCCCTCTGGCTGCTCCATGAAGGTCTCTTCCTCCAAAACTCCATTGAGGAAGGCCGTTACTATATCCATTTGCTTCACCACCCATCCTTTGATGGCCGTCACGGCGAAGAGAGTTCGAAGGGTTGTACCCTTCACCACTGGAGCATATACTTCATTGTAGTCCTTCTTCTCTTGCAGCTGGTACCCCTTGGCTACAAGTCTGCTCTTGTAGCGCTCAATGTTGCCGTCGGCGTCGGTCTTGTGCTTGAAGAGCCACTTGGAAGAAATCACCTTACGCCCCGGAGGTAGGTTCACCAACTCAAATATGTCGTTCTCTATGATGCTCCCCATTTCTTCATCTGAGGCCTTCTTCCACTCCTTCCTATTGGGGCCCGCCCAAGCCTCCTTGGGAGTTTAGACTCCCCCGGCATCTCCACCAAGAGAAGAAGGCAAAAGCGCACTCCTTGCTTTCATCTTCCGCATCATCGCCTAGCATGAGAGCCAAACCGGTCAAGGTTGAGTTGGCTGGTCTTCCAAGCCGGTCATAGCTCAACCTGTTAGGGGGCTGAGTCTTCCTTGTGCGCCTTCCTTCCTCCTCTGCTGCAGGGAATGGAATGCGCTCATGACGTTGCTGCAAATCTGGTCAGTTCCCGCGAGCACTTGTAGCACGAGGCGGAAGTGACGGTGCACGCTCATCACCTTGCTGCACCTCCTCCTCCTCTTCTCCCCCATTCATTTGAGGAGATTGCCTTGTGATTGTGCTGCTGCTACTCAGCTCCAAGGGCAGCTCCACATGCTCCAAGCCGGTACTCTTCACTTCACCAAGCCGCATGCTAATCTTTGCTTGGTTCTCCGCCTTCCACTCCTTGTATGGTAAGCTCTCCATGAACTTGCAATCTCTGCTCACCAAGAACCTCTTGGTAAATGGGTCCCAAAGAAGCCATCCCTTGCTGTTTTGATCCATGCCCAAGTGCACGGCCCATGTTGCCTTGGCATCAAGCTTGTTGTGCCGAAGTTTCTTAGGCACAAGTGTCATGCACATGCACCCGAACACCCGAAGCATATCCAACTTTGGCTTCCTTCCAATCCACTCTACATAGGGCACCCCTTTGTCTCCTCCCACATGATTCAAGGCTTTGTTCTTGGCCACACAAGCATGCCGCACCGCATCCGGCCAAAAGTAATTGGGTACACCGGCTTCAATGAGAAGTCCCCGAGCCGTCTCCGTGAGTGTCCGATTCGCCCGCTCGGCGATGCCGTTCATTGCAGAAAATTAGGGCATGGTGAAAGAGTTCCCTATGCCCTGCTTCTTCAGCCAAGTTGAGAAGTATTTGCTCAGGAACTCTCCCCCACGGTCAGTGCGAATCGCCTTCACAAGCCGGTCTTGTTGCCGCTCCACCATCGGCAACCAATCGGTCTTCACCGCTTCAGCTACGTCACTCTTCTTAGGCAGCATATACACCCAGGTCATGCGAGTGTAGACATCCACTATTGTAAGGAAGTACTCAGCTCCAGAAGCTCCAAGCTTCAAGGGGCCCACCACATCCATCACCACCTCGTCAAGTGCTGTCTTAGCCGTTGTCTCCGAGCTATGGAACGGGTAGTGGGTGAACTTGGCTTGCATGCATGTCGGACAGCCAACCACCTCATTGTGCTCCCCCTTGACATGTATCCCACTGACCATCTCTTGCTTAACTATCTGCTGCAAAGTGGGCAATGTCACATGCCCCATTAGCCGATGAAAGTTCAGCCAATCACATTCTCCTGTAGTAGAAGTCGGGTTGGAGAAAGCGGCACTCGCAATTGTACCCCACAAGCTCTCTCCTTTCTCCTTTGAAGCTGATTTTTTAATGATCTTAGCATTTTCCTCCTCATTTCCACTATCTTTAGCTGTTGCACCACTCTCCTTGGTTTCACACGCCTTGCTGGTCCCTCCAAGATTGCACTCCATCGATTCAATCTTGGTGTCACTTTGCTTTCCGTGATCAACGCCACCAACCGCTTCAGTCTTGGTGCTGACGCTTGCTGTCTATTGCCTCCCCTTAGGCATGGGGACCACTGGGATTTTCCACATCTCATTGTAGATGTCCCTTTCCTCATGAAGGTCCCAAAGCTTTTGCTCACCAAGCCTCCCGGTATAAGTTATAGATCCCTTGGAATATGTGTCCATGGCGGCCTATTGGAAACGCCGCACGGAAATCAGGTTGGCTGCAAGGTTGGGCACCCAAAGCACGTTCTTGAGGCCCACCATCTCCCCATCAGCACCCTTGAACATGGTCTTGCCCATGTCTTTCACCTCTGCTCGCTGCCCCAAAGCCGATGTAGCATGCTTGACCGGCGACGGTTCGAGTTCGGTGAGCAAGTCCGCATGAGGTGTCATGCTATAGGTGGCGCCCCTATAAATCACCCAAAAGTCCAGAGAGTGAAGGGTGACCTTTCCCACAGTAGCTGGCTCCGCAAAGCCTTCCACACCTCCTGCTCCAGCTGCCGCTTCCGTCGAGACAAAGAAGAATTGGCCCGGGTATCGATCTCTGTCTGTCCTGCCAGATAGATCTCTGTCTGTCCTGCCATACATCTGTTCGTCCTGCCAGATAGATCTCTGTCTGTCCTACCAGGTCTTTGTCTGTCCTGCCTGATGTCTATCTGTCCTGCCAGATAGATCTCTATCTGTCCTGCCACACCTCTATCTGTCTTGCCAGATAGTTCTCTGTCTGTCCTGCCAGATCTCTGTCTGCCCTGCCACACCTCTGTCTGTCCTGCCAGATAGATCTCTGTCTGTCCTGCCACATCTTTGTTTGTCCTGCCAGATAGACCTCTGTCTGTCCCGCCACACCTCTGTCTTTCCTGCCAGATATATCTCTGTCTGTCCTGCCATACATCTGTTCGTTCTGCCAGATAGATCTCTGTCTGTCCTGCCAGGTCTCTGTCTGTCCTGCCAGATCTCTGTCTTTCCTGCCAGATATATCTCCACCTGTCCTACCACACCTCTGTCTGTCTTAGCAAAACTATCTCTGTCTGTCCTACCAGATAGATCTCTGTCTGTCCTGCCAGATAGATCTCTGTCTGTCGTGCCAGGTCTCTGTCTGTCCTGCCTGATCTCTGTCTGTCCTGCCAAATAGATCTCTGTCTGTCCTGCCACACCTCTGTCTGTCCTGCCAGATAGATCGCAGTTTGTTCTCCGAGATCTCTGTCTGTATTGCCACACATCTGTCTGTCCTGCCAGATAGATCTCTGTCTGTCCTGCCACATATTTGTCTGTCCTGCCAGATAGATCTCTGTCTGTCCTGCTACACCTCTGTCTGTCCTGCCATACATCTGTTCGTCCTGCCAGATATATCTCTGTCTTTCCTGCCAGATCTCTGTGTGTCCTGCCAGGTCTCTGTCTGTCCTACCAGGTCTCTGTCTGTCCTGCCAAATCTCTGTCTGTCCTGCCAGATAGATCTTTGTCTATCCTGCCACACCTCTGTCTATCCTAGCAGATAGATCTCTGTCTGTCCTGCCACACCACTGTCTGTCCTTCCAGATAGATCTCTGTCTGTCCTGCCACACCTCTGTCCGTCCTGCCAGATAGATCTCTGTCTGTCCTGCCAGATAGATCTCTCTGTCCTGCCAGATGGATATCTCTCTGTCCTGCCAGGTCTCTGTTTATCCTGCCTGATCTCTGTCTGTCCTGCCAGATAGATCTCTGTATGTCCTGCCACACCTCTGTCTGTCCTGCCAGATAGATCTCTGTTTGTCCTGCCAGATCTCTGTCTGTCCTGCCACACCTCTGTCTGTTCTGCCAGATCTCTGTCCGTCCTGCCTGATAGATCTCTGTCTGTCCTGCCACACCTCTGTCTGTCCTACCAGATAGATCTCTGTCTGTCCTGCCACACCTCTGTCTGTCCTGCCAGATAGATCTCTGTTTGTCCTGCCAGATCTCTGTCTGTCCTGCCACACCTCTGTCTGTTCTGCCAGATCTCTGTCCGTCCTGCCTGATAGATCTCTGTCTCTCCTGCCACACGTCTGTCTGTCCTGCCAGATAGATCTCTGTCTGTCCTGCCACAAGTCTATCTGTCCTGCCAGATAGATCTCTGTCTGTCCTGCCACACCTCTGTCTGTTCTGCCAGATCTCTGTCCGTCCTGCCTGATAGATCTCTGTCTGTCTTGCCACACCTCTGTCTGTCCTGCCACACCTCTATCTGTCCTGCCAGATAGATCTCTACTTGTCCTGCCGGCTCGAAGGCCATGGATGTATGTTTGGTTTCTAATGGATTTCTCTGTTATTAAATATTGAATTTTTTGGCATTGAGGGATGAAAAGCTTAAAAAAAAAAACAAACAAACAAACAAAACGAAACAAAAACAAAACAAGAAAAATGGGGGGGGGGGGGGAGTGGGGGGGGCGGGGGTGGGTGGGGCCTAGGGGGGCAAGGAGGCCATGCAATGCCTCGGTACGAAGCCCGACCCTTGCCCATCCAATCCCGATGAGGGCGGACACAGCGTCATAGATGACTGTACATGTGGACGCGCATTAGTTGTTTACAAAAAACAGGGAGAAGAGAGCAAGGGATCTAAGGAGATAGAGAGGTAATGAGTAAGAGAGAGAGAGAGAGAGAGAGAGAGAGAGAGAGAGAGAGAGAGAGAGAGAGAGAGAGAGAGAGAGAGAGAGATATATATATATATAGAGAGAGAGAGAGAGAGAGAGAGAGGGAGAGAGAGAGAGAGAGAGAGAGAGAGAGAGAGAGAGAGAGAGAGAGAGAGAGAGAGAATGAGAGACAGAGAGAGAGTGAGAGAGAGAGAGAGAAAGCGAGATTGATAGAGTGAGAGAGAGAGAGAGAGTGAGAGCAAGAGAGAGAGAGAGAGAGAAAAAGAGAGAGAGCAACAAAGAGAGAGCAACCGTGTGAGAAAGGGAGTGTGAGATTAAACCCGCCATAATGTACAGCCGCAAGTGAGGGTAAAAGGAATATTTCGGGTCGGGACACGGTTGTCGGGTTGGACATGTTGGGGCGGTGAGAGCCGATGATCAAAGCGTGCTTGCTAATACCGTTTTTCCCACGTGCCGAAATCACAATAATGCACGGGCGGCTAAAGCCCGTATTCCCATAGTGGCGTGGTATCCAAGTAGTTTTTTCTTGTCTGTCCTCGCAAAAGGCTATTGGCTCCCCTGGAAGTCGCAACCCCCCCAACCGTTTCACGTGCCCAACCAAGTCGGGGCCCATACGCATACCACATAAACAAGGGAAGCGATACAAGATCTCATAAAGTCAGACGTTGCCTCGAACGCTGCCATGCTTTGGCATGCATCAGCCCCTTGAATGTTGTCGAACAACAAGACAAGTGTCGACTCATCTTGGATTTACGTCGAGTCAACCAACATCTGGTGATCCCTAAGTTCAAATATGAAGGCCTCAACCGCCTCGCGGACTTAACGCGCCCCGGTGACTGGATGTTCTCCCTGGATCTCAAATCCGGATATCATTATATGGACATCCATCCAACAGGCTGGAGGTTTCTCGGATTCCACTTTGAGGGCAACTCTTATTATCTCCAATCTTGACCTTTCGGCCTGGTGACCGCCCCATTCGTTTTTACTCAAATCATCAAGCAGCTTGCGGTACGATGGTGTGGCCAAGGCATCCGCGTCATGCCCTACGTGGACGACATTATCTTCCTCTGCGATTCCCAGTCTGGTGCACTTCGAACATGTTCAGAGGTCGTTGATGATCTGGGTCATGCGGGTCTTGTCATCAATAAAAAGAAGGCTCAGCTTACGCCAACACAGCAACTCAAATTCTTGGGCTTGGAGTTAGACACTGCCACTTGCACATTCAGCATTGGAGTAGAGCGACGCATATAATTGGAAACCACTATGTTCGCCCTTGAAGCAGCTGGTCTGGCTCATCAACGCGTCCTAGTTTGCCAAGTGGTGCGAGTGACTAGCATGCTTGCCTCGATGTCCCTTGCTCTCGGGGCGACAACACGGGCATTCAGCCACGCTTACCTCACAACCATCAATTAAGCCCCATCTTGGCATGCGTGGGTGATGCTCTCCCCCGACGCCTTGGAAGAGTTATGATTTTGGCGTTCCGAGTTCGGCAATTTCAACGAGGCATCGTTTGGCATAAGGCATTGCTACACTGCAATCCTATACGTGGATGCCAGCTCTCATGGGTGGGGGGCGATGCTTAAACCCCTTCCAGGCTGGATAATAGAGGCATCAGCCGGCATGCCCACTTTGACGTGTGGGACCTCAAGCACGCGTCGTGAGCTCAAAGGAGTCCTCTGGGCTCAGCAAATGTGCGCGTCCCATCTGCACGGCCAGCACCTCCTTGTCCGTGTGGATAATCAAAGGGTATTCTTCATTCTCCGGAAAGGTGGATCACGCTGCCCCGAGCTTACCCGCCTATGTCAAACATTGATTCGCTTCTGCGTGCAGCATGAAACTCATCTTGCCATCGAGTGGATTCCCAGGGAATTAAACTACCACGCTGATGAACTCTCGAAGTTGCAAGCTCATGATGATTACTCCCTCGAGCAACCGTGGTTTTGCCTCCTCGAGCGGCGCCTGGGTCCACATACACTCGACCTCTTTGCGAACGCCAACAATACGCAGCTGCCTCGTTTCTGCTCCAAAGCGCCTCATCCGGCGACCGCAACTGTTGACGCGTTCACCATTCCTTGGACGCAGGAACACGGTTTTGCCTTTCCACCTCCGCAATTAATCCCAGCCACCCTCTATTACGCGATGCGCACACAAGCCGTCGTCACACTCATCATCCCCGAATGGCAAGGTGCATTTTGGTGGCCTCTCCTACAGCCCAGATCGGGCCAATGAGCACAGTTTGTGCACACTCACATTCGCTTGACCCACGGTAGCGAGTGCTGAAGTGCTGGCGCTCACACATCTTCCTTCTCTGGTATCAGTTTTCCTACCGGCATCATTCATGCTCTGCTTGTATCATTTCAAGAGAACTAAAAAAATGCAGTATTTCTGTTGTTGGATACAGACGCCCTGGCCCAGCTTAAGCAGCAGCTCCTCTTGCTCACCTCCCAGATCAGGGTGGACTCCACCATTAAAACATATGACCCATACTGGCAAAGGTTTCGTGCATTCTGCGAAGGTTCAAGCTCGCCTTTCTGCCGGCTGCCGACACCACCCTCGCACTGCACCTGCTGCATGAGATCCAACAACAAGCCACGTGGTCCAGTGTACAGCTCACGTGCTCGGCTGTTACGTTCGCACATCAGATGATCGGCACTTCCTGTCCCGTCGCGGGCCCATTCACCCGCCAAGTCCGTGACTATGCCCAACGCCACTGCCCCCGCCCCTCTCGGGTCAAGGAACCCGTCTCTCTTCACTTGTTTCTCTTTTGACACGGGGTCATAGGTGTGTGTGTGCGCAAGCGGAAGCAACACGCTATGAGCTGTTTGAGAGAAGAATTTTGCGGAATGAGGGCACAAGCTACGTGATCATTTGGTATAAAAAATATTACTCTCGTACACTCCTAGGGGCTTAAATGACGAAGTGCTCTACAAAGGGGGAGGGGCTTTTAATCAAATAATGCACATAAGCCCCATTAGTTAATTAAAGGACCCAGGGTCCTATCCCCCGGGGGGGCGCCTATCCGGGATACAGTATTTTCCAGTTCGCTGCACCTAGCGCTTTATGCAACAGGCCAAATATGGGCCCCTCAACCCAGACCCATTGATCCGTGTATTCGGTCGCCACGCCAAGGCATCTCCGAACGACAAAGCTCCTTCATATACGACAATACGCAACTGGTGCAAGGAGGTGTTCGCAAAGATCGGCCAAAGGGATCAGCACCTAGGTACTCACTCCTTCCGAAAGGGGGCGGCCATGATGACTGCAAACATCGGCATCTAGGAGCGCTTGTTCAAACGTCGTGGCAGGTGGCGTAGCTCTGAGGCCAAAGAGATGTATGTCACCATCGCTACCAACCACCTTATTCGAGCGTCTCATCAACTTCACCAGCTGGAGACGACCCCTTCACCCTCGCTGCACCACCAGGCTCTTATACCGTATTCCCCCGAATACAGTACCCGCCGGAATTAAGCTCCCATGGGTGGCTTGAGCGGGTATGGGTGTTTCATTAAACTGGATCTAGTTACCACCCTAGTTTTGGGCTTGAAAACAATTGGACACCCCCCGCCACCTAGAATCCTTATTTTGACAAGGAACAACAGAATTTGCCGTGCATAGTTGCGTGCGTGAACGTCAGGGCGAGTGGGGAAAACGAGCTGGTGGTCAACCCGAATCTGTCCGAACGGAAAAAAAAACTACTGAAACCTCAAAATCCAAATTGTTCATTCTCGACTCTCGCACCCTCCCGCCAAAACAAACCTCCGCTGCCGCCCACTGATTGGAGGCAGCAAGGACGAGGTCTGCAACACTTGTTGATTGGCTGCTTTGCCAGCCTCGTCCTTGACTCTACTGTAGCTGACGATGTGGCAAGCAGAAAGGCCACATTGTAGGGTACGCGATGAGGATACGGGATGTTGATATGCGACACAAAACAAAGTGGTGTAACATGCACTACTGTTTTGGAATTGAAAAATGCAGCGGACCATGGTCTTATATATTTTTTGCCTTTAATTCCCCCCACCCCATGAATTTCATGAATTTTTATTAGCTCCCTAGGGTACTATGTCCGGGGGAATATGGTACGCCAGCATCAACCCGCTCGTCACATGTCTCGCGGAAACCCATAAGCAATGAAGACGCTGTTATTGCAAGTAAAGAAGCAAGCTTTCTCAATCTTCCACCTCTTCTGCCCAGTGATCCGTTCTGTGGTTTAAAATAGTGTGTGAGGCCATTCAATTGGTTGACTACTCTATTTACATCAATATTGCCAAGGAAGAAACACAAAGCATGCGTTAGGCAGAGCAGATAAATGCAGCATGCATTACTGCAGCTGCACCCTTCTGCTCCTCTCCTGTTGTTCCTCTCTCACTGTGTCAAACATATATTTGTATGTTACTATGGGCTAGATAGGTGCGTACTCTTAGAGAGTACAACCCCTTAGCACAAAACCACCGTGTATCACACTTTCTAGTCACTTCGCTACTTTGATATGGTATCACGCTAGGCTAGGTCCTCCCCGCCCAGCCGCGCTTCCGCCCTAGCCCTAAACCTAGTTGCCCGTAGCTAGCCGCTCGCCGCTAGCTGGCTGTAGCTAGCCGCCCACCGCTAGCCGGCCGTCGCCTAGCGCCCACTGGCCCCGCGATCGCCAGCCCCGCACCTGCTGGCCCCGTGCTCGCCAGCCCCGTGCCTGCTAGCTCCGAGCCCGCCTACCCCATGCCTTCTGGCCCTGCATTCGCCTGCCCCGCGCCCGGCAGCCCAGCACCCGTCGGCCCCGTGCTCACCAGCCTTGCGCCCGCTGGCTTCGAGCCTGCTGGCCCCCCGCCCGCTCGCCCGCGCTCGCTGGCCCCGCTTCCGCCAGCCCCGCGCCCGCCAGCCCGTGCCCGTCGGCCCCGCGCTCGCCAGCCCTGCGCCCGCTGGCCCCGCGCTTGTTGGCTCCGCACCCGCTCGACCCGCGCCCGCTGGCCCTGCTTTCGCCGCCAGCACGCCCGCTGGCCCCGCTTTCGCCAGCCGCCTGCCGCAGGCCCCGTGCTCTTCATCAGCCCTGCGCCCATCGTCTCCTGTGCCTCCTGGCCCCGCACCTGCCAGGCCCGCGCCTGCTGGCCCAGCGCCCGCCAGCCCTGCGCCTGCTAGCCCCGAGCCTGCCTGCCCCGTTGCCCCGGCCCTGCGCTCCCACCGACCCCAGCACCGTCGGCCACCGCTCCGCCAGCCGCAGCTCCGCCGGTCCCTGCCTGACCTGACCCTTCCTA